TGTGGGAAGAAGAGGTGGGGGTATGTGCAGGAGGAGGGCAGTTGAGGGGGAAGGCTCTTCCCAAGCTTCATCAGAGAGTGTGGTGGTTTCCCCTATTGGGGATGGGGGGGAGTGGGTCCTGGTCGGAGGGAAGAAGAGGAAAAATAGGGTTGTGCTTTCCTCAGCATCCGCATAGTCTCTGTGCTCTTCAGATCAGGTTGACATACTTTCAGGGAATAAGTTTGGGTCTCTATCAGATCGTGGGGATGTTTCATCTGACTCTGTGGATCTGATGGAGGAGGCTGAGAACAGTGCTGGGACAACCCCCATAGTACAGGGGGCCCCAGTGGTAGATAGTCAGACTGAGGAATGCCTATCTTAATTATCCTGATGGCAGTTCCCACCCCAGTAAAAGTGGCAACTATTAATGTTGCCAGCTTGAAGTCTGAGTGCTCGTAACATGGCCTTATTTTTTGCTCAGCGAGGTTGATGCTGATGTTTTGTTTTTGCAAGAGACCCGGCTCAATAGGCTTGCCGATATCCACCTGGCAAAGAAGGAGTGGAGGCGTGGCCCCTCCTTTTGGTCTCTTGCGGCCGAGCCTTACAGTGGGGTTGCAGTGCTTTTTACTGGTATGGTAACGTGCCGGCGGATTATTGAGGTAGAGATCGCAAGGTGCATGGTCCTGGACGTCTCTGTGAGGGGGCATGACCTGCGTTTAATCAATATATATGGCCCGCAGTCCAAGTGGGAAAGGAAATGCCTTTTCACAAAGATTAGGCCTTTCCTTTTTACGGCCCGGCAAGTTGTCTTTGGAGGTGATTTTAACACCATCACTAGGCCCAAAGACAGGAGAGGCTTCACTGACAGGTTGGGCTATGATAGCGTTTTTTTTTTTCTTACTGCGATAGTCAGGGATGCAGGTCTGGTAGATGCACTAGTTAAGTGCAGCCCAGACAGCACAGGCTTCACTTTTAGGCGAGGTAGGAGTGAGAGCAGGATAGATAGGTTTTTTTTAAAGGGGAACTCTGCCTTCTCGGCACCTGTGTGTGTCAGGCGGTTGAGTTTTCCGATCACCTTATGCTATCTGTGATCTTGAATGTTTCAGATACGCCGCTGAAAGGAAGGGGCATCTGGAAGATGAATTCGGCCTTGCTGGATGACGTGAGTGTGAGACAATCCTTTGAGGAATTTTTCCAGGCTCAGGTGACCCTTCTGGATTTCTGCAGCAGTAAGACGGAGTGGTGGGAGCTCACTAAAAAGCGAACCAGTGGGTTTTTCATGGCCGTAGGTAAAAAGGTACAACTTGATAGATATGTTGCCTACCAGCGGCTGCGGAGGAGACTTGACTGCCTCGTCTCGGTTGGTGGTGATCCTGGGGCGATTGCGGAGGTGAAACTCCTTCTTAGGAAGCATCAGTATGACTGGCACGCTTCTTTGGTTCTGGAGAGGGATTACGGGAAATATCACTCGCCCGACCCTTACCAGAATTGCAGACAAAGCGCAGCAATTAAAACGGTCTTAGGCCTGAGAGATAGTACAGGCTCCCTGACAAAATCCAGGTCAGGGATTCTGCAGGTCTCGAGGTCCTTTTATAGAGATTTTCTGGGGAAGAAGCACCTCGACCGGGAGAGGATGTTAAGTTTTCTGGACTCTACACCGGGTCTGGGGAGAGACGTCCCGCTTCCAAGTTTGATGGACGAGATAACAGAAGCAGAGGTAGCCAAAGCCATAGACAGTCTGGCAATTAAGAAAACACCTGGCCAGATGGTTTGACGGCAGCAATTTTATAAATCTTTCAAGACTAGCTTGGCACCCCATCTCGCGGAGGTATTTTAACTGCTGTCTGCAAGAAGGTTCACTCCCTCCATGAGAAAGTCTGCTGTTATCCTGCTGTCAAAGGGTAAGGACCCTTCAATGATTGAGAACTGGCGCCCCATCAGTCTTCTCAATGTTGATAGAAAGATTCTGGCAAAGATTCTTTTTCTGGCGCCTGGCGTCAGTCGCAGACACGCTGCTTTCCGGTCGGCAGCACTGCTCGGTCCAGGGCAGGAGCACCTTCACAGCGGTGTTAGCTGTCGGGAGGTTCTGGAGCGGTGCAGGGCTGAAGGCTGGGGAAAGTATTTGCTGACATTGGATCAGGCCAAGGCTTTTGATCGGGTTAGTCATGAGTACCTTTGGCATCTTCTTGACAGGTATGGCCTGGAGGGGGGGTTCATTGGCTGGCTCAAGACATTGTATAGAGAGGCGGAGAGCTTCATGCTGGTGAACGGCTGGATTGGGCAGCCCTTTGGGGTTGGCTCTGGGGTGCGCCAGGGATGCTCACTGAGTCCTCTGCTCTATGTCTTTGCGGTCGACCCCTTCGTAAGGAGGCTGGACTGTGGAGCGTTGTGCGGGGTACCGGTGGGTGTTGCTGGTGAGCCACCCCTGAGGGTCATTGCCTACGCTGATGACGTTTCTGTCTTTGTCTCTGGGGCTGTGGAGGCGCAGGTGGTTGTCTCAGAGATAGAGCAGTATTCCAAGGCATCAGGGTCCAAGATCAATCAGGACAAGTCTGAAGTCCTTTGGTTAGGTGTGGAGGGCGAGGGCTTTGTGCTCCCGGACGCTTTCCCTGTGCCTCAGCAGTCCGTCAAAGTATTAGGCATTGAATTTGGCCCGGCCGATTATGGCAAATCGAATTGGGAGGCCAGGCTGACCAATGCTGAAGTCAAGGTGAAATGCTGGAAGGGGGTGGGGGCTCTCCTTGAGGGAAAGGGTTGATCTGATCAAAACTTACCTGATCCCCATATTTTTGTATGTCAGCACAGTTTGCATCTTGCCAGAGTCTCTTAATACGAGGATTTACAGTTGCTTTTTCCAGCTGTTATGGGGAAGCAGACTGAACCTTGTGAAGCGAGATGTGACTTACCTATCCAGGAGGAAGGGTGGCTTAGGTATGGTCAACCCGGTAGTCTTCTTCTCTCTGGTGTGTAGCACAATTTTGGTAACATGCTGGCAGAGAGACCTCCTGCATGGGTAAGCCTCTTCCGGAAACTGGTTTAGGCCTTTTCTGAGTTGCTGGGAGAGTGGTGGGCTAGTGAAAAGCCTGAGGGTTAAGCACGTGAGCTCCCGACTTATGTTGCCCCGAGCCTGAAAATACTTAGGCGGTGGCGTGTGACGGCGGAGGATATTAAGTCCCTCCCTAGGAAGCTCCTGGGTGAGAGGATTGTGTCCGTTGTTTGTCATGCGCCGCTGGCCTTGAGGGATTGTCCCGGGCCATATTATGCGGGAGGCTTACGCTTATTAAATTCTGAGCGGATTCCCTTCAAGTTTAGGGACCAGGCCTGGGTCGGTTTTCACGGCAGACTCTTCGTGAGGGGAAACTTGAAGTACCTCTCTCTGGATGACCGCGGTTGTCCGAGAGAGGAGTGTCGGGGTAAAGTGGAAACTATGGACCACTTCTTGCTTCAGTGTCCCTTCAATGTTGAAGTCTACAAAGAGGTGGGGAGTGCTCTGGGTGTTCCTTTCTTGCACTGCATGTCTTATGCAGAGTGGGTATATGGAGCATTGCAAGATCGCCGGGGTTTTGATTTGGACACTCTTTATTTAGTTAGCCTAGTTGTCCGCTATTTCACGTGGAATGCACGGTGCCAAGTGTCCATACGGAAGAAAGTCCTTCCTGTCCCGGAGGTGGTGCGCGGCATTCTTGATGAGGTGGGGAAAGTTAGGGGTCTTGAGAAAGACAGGTGGCGGCGAGGGGTCTGGATAAAGGCGTGGAGGAATATCAGGCCTGTAGTTGCCGCCTGTTGATCTCTGGGTGTTGGTAAACTATCCTGTTTTCTTTCTCCTTCCACCCTCCCTTAGATTTTCAGAGATGATTTTTTTTGAAGAAAGACTACATGGACCCGAAGATCTATGTTCCTCAGTCTAAGTAATGTTGTTTTGTGTGATGTTTTGTACAGTGTTTGACTATAGGCCATGTAGGCTACATATGCTATTGTATTCGGCCATAAGTGCTTTCTTATTAGGCCGTAAAGGCCATATATGCAGATGTATTGGGCCATAAAGGCCACGTTTTGTTTTCTAGGTCATAAAAGCCGTGAATGCAAATCTTTGTTTCCGGCTGTAAGGGCCTTGCGTACATATTTGCTTCAGCCATACTAAGGACTCTAGTATGGCTTTGAAATGTTTACTTTTATGTTTGCACATGATGGAATGTGATGTTGTTATGTTATTTATTTTATTTTTTTTTATACTTTTGTAGAAAATGTTTGTTGGTTGTGAGTTTTTCTAAAATAAAACAATATCTCCCACCACTATTGGCAAGTCCATTCCTGGCAGTACCCCCCACCCCTCAAGGAGCGGCCTCAGGATGCTCCAAACAGTCCTTAGTGGGCAAAATGTTCCACCGCCCAGGTCCGGTGACTGGCGGGATATCAAAGACTGGCACTTCGGGCTGGGCACCGACGGAGGCACGTCGGGCTGGGCACCGGACGGAGGCACATCAGGCTGGACGCTGGATCACCAGGCGGAGCAACAGGCACCGGGCCACCAGGCGGAGCAGCGGGCACCGGGCCACCAGGCAGGGCAGCGGGCACCAGGCCACCAGGCGGAGCAGCGGGCACCAGGCCACCAGACGGGGCGGCGGGCACTGGTCCACAAGGCGGGGCACCGGGCAACCAGGCGGGGCGGCGGGCACGGGGGCAACCAGGCAGGGCGGCGGGCACCGGGCCATCAGGCGGAGCAGCAGGCACCGGGCAACCCGGCAGGGCGGCGGGCACCGGGCAACAGGCAGGGCGCCGGGCACCCAGGCGGAGGGCACCGGGCCCCCAGGCACCGGGCCATCTGGCTCGAAAGCGGGCATCGGGTCACCAGGTACAACAGCGGGCACCGGGTCATCAGACATTGGATCGTCTTGCTCAACCGCGGGCACCAGGTCATCTGGCTCAACAGCGGGCATCAGGTCACCAGGCACGACAGCGGGCATCGGGTCACCAGGCATCAGGTCATCTGGCTCGACAGCGGGCACCGAGTCATCTGGCAAGGCAGTGGGCACCGAGTCACCAGGCGTGACAGCTGGCTCTGAGTCAACTGGCACGACAGCGGGCATCAGGCCACAAGGTATGACAGCGGGCACTGGGTCATCAGGCATTGGATTGTCTGGCAAGACTGCGGGCACCGAGTCATCTGGCAAGACTGCGGGCACCGAGTCATCTGGCAAGACCGCGGGCACCGAGTCATCTGGCAAGACCGCGGGCACCGAGTCATCTGGCAAGACCGCGGGCCCCGAGTCACCAGGCACAACAGCGGGCTCTGAGTCAACCAGCACAACAGCGGGCTCTGAGTCATCTGGCAAGACTGCGGGCACCGAGTCGGCTGGCAAGACAGTGGGCTCCTAGTCATCAGGCTGGATCAGTTCATCAGGCTGGGTAGAGACATCAGGCTGGGTAAAGACATCAGGTTGGGTAAAGACATCAGGCTGGGTAAAGACATCAAGCTAAATTGTGGGCGCCGAGGCACCAGGCTGCACCACGGAAGGTGGGTTCTCAGATGGGAGGCTGACCAGTTTGGATACTGGCAGGATGGTATTGGTTGGAAAGAACTTTCGCCTTTTCCTGGTTTTAGTTACCGGAGCACTGTAAGTAAGCGCAGGTTTGTAAACGGATGGAGCAGCTGAAGACAGAGAAGAGCTGGAGGATGGAACAGAGGAGGGAGCAGTTGCTACAGAGGACTTCTTTACAGGGTTGAAGAAAGGATAGGTGCAGCGAGTGGGAGCAGGGGACTGGTATGTGGTAGTTAGCAGAGTATACTGGGCCATCACTGGGGGTGCTGTCGGGGATGCAGGAAGAGTGCCTTGAGCAGAGGAATGATGTTGCAAGCCGACTGAGGGCTGGGTGTAACAAATCTGTCCATGTCTGCAGTACTGGTTTAACAAAACTCAGCTTACACATAGCCTGTCTGATCAAAGACTGCACTGCGTTTATGCAATCCATAAGCACATGTGATGGACATGCTGCATAGTGCTCATGGAAACAATCTGGATCATCCTCCAACAACCATACCAGTGATTCCACTTGATCCACACTAAATGGGGGAAAAAAGTCATTCCTGCTTTCAGGGGTACAGGACCGAGCCAACTCAGCACAAACCTGGATCAATGGCTGCACCTCAGAAAACTCTGTGCCCTGATCAACTAGACAATGAGCGATCCTTATACACTCTAGCAGTTGATCCCGGGTATACTCCTTCAGAGTTGATAAGCATAGTCTTTGTCATCAAACACTAGCAGAGATAAATACACCACCTCATCAAGATCCATCCTTCCCAGCAACAATAAGCCAAGATGGCCTCCCTGTGCAGCCACTTCTGGTCAGGTTTTTGGCCTTGGTGTAATGTCAGGGCTCCGGGTATGACAGAGAGTGTGTGTGTACTGACACAGGGAAACGCAGGCTTCAGATATGGTATAAATAAGACAATTTATTAAGACTAACAATACAAATATAAACGTAGTGCACCAAACCCCAAGCTAACATAAATACATACAACAAGATGAAACAAACCCAAATCTAAACGGATATAGATACACAGGTACATACACATATAGAGCACAATGTAGTCAGGCAGGCCGGGTCGATAACTATCGGGCAGGTAGGTACAGGAGGAGCAGGCGGAGAGTAGTCAGGGTCACAAGCCAGGGATCAAACAGGAGAAGTCAGCAGAGGTCAGGATCAGGCAGGGTCGGCAACAAGTCAGGCAGAAACAGGAACAGGAATGCAGGTTACAAGATACAGGGGCCCATGGAAAAACACACACCAAGGCACAGACTGCAGGTCTGGCCATCCCTTAAATACACCTGCAATCAGCCCCAGGTGATGGCTAATTGCCAAAGCGAACCTCTGGTTGTTGAGAGCACCCGCTGGCCAGCCCTGGTACTGCAGCCCACAAGGCAGGTGAGTCCCACCACTATTGGCAAGTCCATTCCTGACAAAATGTGATGGGCAGACAGAAAGTAAAAGCGATGTAAATTCCATTATCTATACCATAGTTTGTAGACGCTATAACTTTCACACAAAGCAATAAATATACACTTACTGGGATTTTTTTAACCAAAACATGTAGCAGAATACATTTTGCCTAAATTTATGATGAAATTTTAGTTTTTTTGGATATTTTTTATGACCGAAATGAGAAAATATTGTTTTTTTCAAAAAAAATGTTTTTCTTCAAAACTTTTTCTGGTTATAGCGCCAAAAATAAAAAGCGCACAGGTGATCAAATACCACCACCAAAAGAAAGCTCTATTTGTGTGAAAAAAAGTACATAAATGTCATTTATGTATGGTATTGCATGACCGCTCAATTGTCCGTTAAACTAGCGCAGCGCTGTATAGCAAAAATATGGCGTAAATTGCAGTATCTATACCATAGTTTGTAGACGCTATAACTTTCACACAAAGCAATCAATATACACTTATTGGGATTTTTCTTACCAAAAACATGTAGCAGAATACATTTTGGCCTAAATTTATAACTAACTTTGAGTTTACTATATATTTTTTATAGCGGAAAGTAAAAAATATTGTTTTTCTTCAAAATTTTTGGTCTTTTTTTGTTTATAGCGTGAAAAATAAAAAGCGCACAGGTGATCAAATACCACCGAAAGAAAGCCCTATTTGTGTGAAATTATCAGTTGAATTAGTGCAGTGCCGAGTAGCAAAAAGAGGTCTGGTCAGGAAGGGGGGGTAAATCCTCAGGAGGGCAAGTAGTTAATGCTAACCATAGTGTGTTGCTGATATTTTTTAGTCCACTAGATGGCGAGCTTGTATTATCTACATTGTACACTTTAGTATGGTACTGAATATTGTGTCTATGAATGCACATGGTCTCAATAGCCCTTTTAATTGCAGCATGATGTGGAAAGAGGCACAGAAATTACATGGGGACATTGTGTACAAGAGACTAATTTTTCTACACTTAATTCTCCGTGCTGCTCCCATAGATTGTTCCCACAGGTGTTCACAGCTGATGCCCCTATGAAAAAGTGTGGGGTTCTGATAGCCATAAAAAACTCTGTAACATTCTCCCTCCACTCTCTGGAGAAAGACCAGAAGGGCAAGTTTATAATAATGGTGTGTGAATTAAATAATGTTCTCTACACGATTGTGAACCTATATGCTCCTAATGTTAATCAAATCTCTTTTTTAATTCCTTGAGGAAGAAAGTAATGAAAATTCAGAATGGTTTTTTAATCTCCTGCGGTGACTTTAATGCTATCATCCACAAGTCTTTGGATGTTTCGGGCCAGTCACGTGGGGTGTGGTATTCTATGGCGTCAACTCTACAGGAATCAAATCTTTATGATCCTTAGAGATGTCTCCATGACTCCGAGAAAGATTTTACATATTACTCAGCTCTTACTCCAGGATTGATTATTTCTTAACCGATTTACAACTTTTGCAACATGTTACCAAAACAATTCACCCTATGACGTGGTCAGACCATGCGCCTATATCTGTCTACATTGAGGAGTCATTGCGATTTTCACCGGTATTCTTGTGGCGAATGACACTTCTATGTTTCTTAACCCCAGTACCCTCTCTCATATCTCTAAATCTTTGCAGGAGTATTTTGATATTAATGCCTCTTCGGATGCAGATATATTCAATGTTTGGTGTGCTCATAAGGCTTTCCGTCGAGGAGTGTTAATACAGGAGAAAAAGGGTAGACAAAAGGCCCTGTCAGAACTACCATCTAAGATCGCTAGTTTAGAACCCCAACATAAATGAGGTCTTTCACCTAAGATGTTGCAGGAATTGCAGACTAATAGACTAGCTATTAAGAATATTTTACTACTTCAACACGAAAATACCTTAGAAGAGTCAAAACTAATTACTACACCCAAGGTAATAAGGCCGGAAAATTGTTGGCCTCCTACATCAACGTTAAACAGGCTAAAACCAAAATTCCCTCTATGATAGATCCTAAATCTAAGGAAAAGGTTTTCCATCCCATTAAAATTGCAGAGGCATTTCGGACCTACTACACTCAATTGTACAATCTCAAAGACGATCCCAATATGCCTCAACCCACTCCTGACCTTATCAATAATTTTTTTGCCAATCTCTCTCTACCTAAATTGGACCAGTCAAAGCTGGATATTTTAAATCAGCCTATATCAGATACTGAGATTTTGGCCGCAGTTAAGGCGCTACCGAAGGGGAAATCACCTGGAGCAGATGGTTTTGCTGCAGAATATTACCAGGAATTTCAAGATATATTAATACCCCATATTAAGAAAGTGTTCTTGCAGGCTGTACAAAATGCAACTTTTCCATCAGAGATGTTGAAAGCAATCAGTTAGACTGCCCAAACCAGGTAAATCTCCAAACTGCCCGCAAAATTTGTGCCCAATATCTTTACTTAATACAGATCTTAAGATTTATGCTAAAATTTTAGCTAGCAGATTAACAGTGACTCCTTCCCTTATTCAATCAGACCAAGTAGGGTTTGTTAAAGGTAGGCAAGCAGCGGATGGCACATGTAGGGTGCTTAATCTATTGAGGATTGCCGAACTCCGTAAATCTCAAACTGTCTTTTTGGCATTAGATGCTGAAAAGGCTTTCGATAGGGTTCACTGGCAGTATCTCGACTCTACTCTTTCCAATTTCGGTATGTACGGATACATCAAATTGGCTTTCACAGCGTTATACACAGTGCCTTCCGCATACGTTTTTACATCCAATGCCTTGTCAGATCCCTTCCTAATCACAAACGGTACCAGACAGGGATGTCCCCTCTCCCCTATTATTTTTTTCTTCGGTGATGGAACCCCTGGCAACCTCAATTAGATTGAATCCCTTGATTTTGGATATAAAAACAGCAGATATATCCCACAAAATTGGCCTCTTTGCAGATGTCATATTTACCATAACGGACCCATTGACTTCATTGACAGCAATCTCTTCAACACTTACAGTGTTCAGCAGCCTCTCATATTATAAACTCAATATTACTAAATCATGTGCACTTCCTATAGTGGTTCCAAAAGATCTTTTACATTGTCTTAAAAACAAGTTCTTGTACAGCTGGTCTACTAAGCATCTGGAGTATTTGGGTATTTGGGTGTCCTCCCCTTCTTCCAACATGTTCAAAAGACAATTACAAGGAACTATACCAGGTGATATTAAAGGATCTATTAGCAATTGGAAAATATGAGCTTTCGTGGTTGGGCAGAGTAGCGGCCATTAAGAAGTTGATCCTGCCTAAACTCTTATACTATTTTAGAACGATCCCGCTCCTTATCCCCCATTCTTATTTTAGTAAATTAGATATATTGTTGAAAAAGTATATTTGGAAGGGGAATAAACCTAGCATCCTGATTTTGGCTCTCATTAAACATAAATCTAAGGGGGGGGGCGTAGGTTTCCCTGTTGTATCTACTATTACGCTGCACTGCTAGATCAACTTCAGAACTGGCTGATCCCCTCGGATAAGCTCTGAGTACAAATGGAAGCACAGTCCCAGCT